TGTCACTCCCTAAAGCTGCTCCACTTCCAGAATGACAAATTCAACAGCCCATTGTTCAACCATCTGCTATCATGTCCTTGCTCAGTGCCCAAAATCTTGACCTCGCCATGTCATCCCATCCGCACACCCCATGTTTTATGATCTGTAGCAGCATCGTTCTGTCTTCACCTTTCTCCCCACTCAGCACACTCCGCATATTCAACGTAACGCATCCTAAAATGAATTAAAGATCTTCCTCTCCAAAACACCACTTGCTCCTTTTTCGGTGTTCCCTATCTCAACAGATGATACCATTTAAGTTCTAGGTATTTCTCTGTAGCATATTTGCTGTGAGCATCTTTGCCACAAACATTTTCACTACATAATTAGTTGGCCACAAGGCAATTTTTCCATAAAAAAAGATAAAATAACTGGTTGACAGTTTGGTTTTTTGTTTGGTTAGTTGGTTTCATTTCTCCATTGATGAATAAACCACCTTTAGCAGACTTCATGTTTCAGTTGTCGGTTCGGTTTAATCTCTCCATTGACAAAGTTCTCGCAGTTACTACTATTTTTATATTACTCAAATCTTACCTAGTTCTGTTTTATCCAGGGCAAATTATGCTGAGTCTGAGATTGCCCTTAGTAATAATTTATTTAAAACAGGTTCACTGTAGGAATTATACTTTATAATGGTAAGATTTCACAAGCCAATAGCATACAGGATAATGTCTCTTAATAAACAAATAAAGGGGGAAGGGAAAAGTGTGTTGTTCACTGCACTATTTCCCTTTGTGTGGGGTTTAGGATTTGACGATTTCTTGTGAAAACACAGAAAAAAGAAAAAAGTCAATAAAGAAAAACATACTCCAAACCAATGATAGATTCATTACACTATTGTTCCAATCAAAGAAAAGATGACAAAAATAAAGTCCAAATTTAGCTGAAGCATACCCTTCTACAAGATGGTTTTCCATAGAGTCAGTACTTCTAATCAAAAGCTGAGTATCAGCTGCTGGCTTAGGTCCCCTGCTGCTAGTGCACGTAGCTAGCAGGTAACCACACTGGTGCTGGTAAGCAAGGTGAGCTGCTTCAAAGATTATTACTCCAGGGACCATTATACAGCATGCACCACTGCCTAAAAGGAGTAGCCTCACCAAGAGAGGAACAAATGTCCCTTCTCTTCCCAAGAATGCTATACGGTTTAACACCACTACTGGTCAAGAGTAAGACAGAGCAAGCTCCTACCTAATTACAGCAAGTATCTCAAGATCTTTGGAGAGCTATTTAAACTTTGTAGATTCTACCTAAGCACCTGTCTTCATTCTATGGGAAATGTGGGTTCAACTCTGAATTATTGTCGCTCCTCCATTCATTCCTATCAATAAGTCTCCAACAGTGTCTGTGAATAGCTGAGCTACTAAGTGCTTATCAACAACAGATTTTGATGACAACATCCTAGCACAGCTTCCTCAAGGTAAGCAAATTCACTCCTGGATCAAAACAACTTCACTTTAGTCATAAACAAGTGGATCTGAAATCATAACAAGCCAATACGCAACACCTCATAATGCTGATGGTCTTAAAATAGCATTTCTTCCAGATGACAATGATTGCCCCCAAGAGTTGGTTTCTTATTTTGAAACACACTACATTGTGAAGAGGGCCCTCTTTAAGGGCGGAGTTGAACCCACTTTCCCCACAGAATGAAGACAAGTGCTTAGGTACAATCTACAAAATAAAATCAGTTATTTGCACAGTATTGCCATGAATCTACACACATTTTAACATTTTATATTTCACAATAAGATCTTTTTTGTTATTCATTTTTTCATGTTTCATTATGTCCTTTTTAAATGTCCTTTTATCTGTTGTTCTTCTACCTTTTTTATGGTAAAATTGCCTTATGGATGATTAGTTACTCAGCAAAAAATACTTGCAGTGAAACACTTGTGGCAAAGATGCTTATGGCAAAGGAGCTTATGGCGAAGAGAGCAGGCACGCGTTGGTCTCCAAGTCTTGCACCAGGGAGTCAGCTAACAACTTTCCCTTCTTTATCCCCTTTAGTTAAAAATCTATTTTAAAATTCTTATCATTTCTGCTTTGTAAATACTTCTTGAGTTTGTCCACTTCATGCCATCATCTTTGACCAGGCTACAATAACACTCCTGCTGGACGTTCTACAACCACTACCACCTGCCGCGAGGCCTGTTAGGTTCTCTGCTCTCACACACTGTGCTTCTCCTTGGCAGGTCCTATAAGAATTACAATTCACACACTAATGACCTAATTCCATCTTTAATGTCTGCCTAAACCTCAGAACTGTAAGCTCCATCAGGGCAGAGCTCTAGCCCTCACATATCCAAATCCTTCCCACACTCTATGGCCCAGTGGCATTGTTCACTCCTCTCTCTGTTCTCTCAAAACTACTGCCATTACTATCACATCGACTCACCATGTATTGCCTTGCATCATGACGTACTGTTTGGATCAATGTAACATCTTCCACAGAGAATATAAACTCTAGAGGCAGAAAGAATAAAATAGACATAAAAATGTTTCCTAAACTAATAATGCTAGAAAATATTTCTGTAATTACCTTAACACTAATTTTGCATTCTCTGATGAATTTAGCATACCAACGAAATTAAAAGCATGTTGAAATGAATTAAAGTTTACAGCTAATTTTTAAGATGTCCTTAATACTCTTCTCGCTGACTCAAAATAATAAGTAGCTAAAGATTGACAATCTGAGCACATTCCATCCCTAATTTGCTAAAAGATTGGGGGGGAAAAATCATTTTTCCTCTCCCTTTCTCCATACTCTGGCTTCCTTCACAGTGAGACCAGCATTCAATTCAAACATAACTACTAAACTTGTAAAGACAAGTTATCCCTGATTTTCATTCTCAGTTCTTCCCATAGAATGTTGTAAACGTGATGACTTTCCAAATACTTAAACTTGAGCAAAATGTTTTAAAAATTCAAATAATTATTAAATGCAGAAAGCTTTAATGTAGAAGCATCATCCTGGTTTTTCTAACTAAAAGTTTTATCAATAAGCTTACAGTAGATTTTCAAATGGTTCATGAAAATAGTTCCAGGTTATTCAGCTGTATAGATCACTGTGCTTAATAAATAATAGGCACCAAATAATATCTGAATAATGATTATTATTCAGTCCGAGGCCCTCATGATAAACCTAAGGCCTAGGCAGCTGATCTTAACACCATGGGCTACTACTCACTGCCAAGGGAATTGAATTCAAACCCCATGCTGTTATAAGTCTGAACCCAGACTTATCCTCCATTAACTGCCTCATGAAGTACCTATCGCCCCAGATTTTCCCAGTTGCCTAACATACCGAGTACTATCACCCAGCCTGTTCTTTGCTCCCACTCTTCTGAAATCTCCTATCCTATGAATTTGCCCACTGAATTCTACTCATCTACCTATGTCGAATGCCACCTCTTCTGTGAAGCCTTTCCTGGTTCCTTTTAGGAAGTAATCCATTCCCTCTATACTTCCATTGCTTTTAGTCTGTACTTACTTCTTTTAAGCACTTACCAGAGACTGCCTCATATTATAGTCATGTGTGCACATGTCTAACTTCTCCACTAGATTATTAGCTCCTTGATGACATGGGTTGATTCATAGTCATTTCTGTATCCTTCACAGCCCCTGGCAGAGCATCCTGCGCACAGTAGGTGGTCAATAAACGTTTACTGTCTCACCAATGGTACGTTTCTATGTTGCTACTGTACATTTCCCTTCCACATATATCCACAACAGATTTACATTTCCAAAATCATACTAAGAGCAGGCCTTTCCATTGATTTACAGGGCCCTGTTACAGGCAGGCCCTGAGGACTCAAAGATAAGACACAGCCTGCAGGACTCAAGTAGCTCAGATTCCACATACGAATACGTTGTTTAAAAAAAATTATTATACAATAAACGCAAGAAAAGAGGTACGCAGGTGGTCTAGGGAAACACAAAGGAATGTGCTGCACCTACAAGAGGGCAACAATCAGGATCACTAACTCTCACACAATGTGTCACAGCGGAACATTCACTATTAGATCCTCATGGATGTTTCTACAGATATCTGAAAACACTGAATCTAAAACTAACCTATTAAAGACAGAGTCAGGCTGTGTTGTGGATGCAAACTTTAATGCAAAAGTCAAGGAATTCACTGCAATTGGTAATAATTTTCTGTGTTTGCCTTACTCCTAGGTTGCTGTTTGAAAGCCGAAAAACTGAGAGAGCTGTTTTGAACAGTTAACACGACCGAGAACACTAGTCTATGTTTATTAAGAGCATCCCCTTTCCCCCAGATGAATCCGCAGGCCGGTCACCTTCCCCCGGTTGAATTCCGTGTTTACCTTTTTGCATCTCCCGCCAGACTGAGCCGCAACCAGGCAAGCGCTGGGCTCACGGGCTACCTCCCCACCGAAACGCAGGCGAACCCAAGCCTGGACCAGCGCATGCTCTCCAGAAATGAATGAAAGGCCTCATTTTTCACTTCTGTTTATTTACGGGATCCGGGCCTAGGGTCGTTTTTTTGCCCTTAGCTGCAGATCTGAAGAAGGGTTGTCCGATCCTAACTTCCAGGCGCTTCTCGCCCAAGCCCCGGCCTCCAGCCCGATTTTAAATCCGGATACTCAGAAACCCTCTACCAAAAACGGCAAAGTGGCCCTTTTACTTACAAAAAAGGCTCCCGGGGCGCGAGCTCGCCGTCGAAGCAAAGCCAGGTTATTATTCTCCAGGCACCAAGACCTTAGCGCCGCTCGCGCCGCCCGCGCCTCCGGAACAGGAAACGGAGAGAATTAAAAAGCAAACCTGAGAAAGCTGGACCACGGGAGGGAAAGCTCGTGGGTTCGCCGCAGTGCCTTATGCACGGTGATTGGCGCGCCAACAAAAGCGATGTTCATGTAAGCCAATCGCCCTCATTGGGCCCTCCGGCGCCCGCCTCCTGCCCTGCCTGTTCTCCAATCCGGAACCGCAACCGGGTGAGCGCGCGCTTCCACCCGGGGAGGGCAGCGGTGCAGCCTTTCCCGAGTTCCCGGATCCTCCGCCTGGCGTCTCCGGCTGGTTGGAACGCTGCTGGGGGCGAAAACATGAGCGACCCTGCGGGAGAGTGTGCTCGCTTTCGGCGCTACCCCGAGCTCCCGGTGTGGGTGGTGGAGGATCATCAGGAGGTGAGTGGGCGGCTTCTGGGAGCCGGGGCAGAATCGCGCGAGGGCCAAGGAGGCGGTGGCGGAGCCTCGGCTTCGGAGGCCAGAGGGAGAACCAGAATTTGTTACGCGCTCGAGTTGCATTGCTGTGGGGAAAAACACACTACTTTGCAAAGTAACTAGGAAAAATAGGCGCTGACGTTTATGGGGCAATTACTATGCGTCGGGCAACTCATTTAACTCTTATGGTTTGCCCAAAAGTCCCACAACCAGCAACTGCTGACGTCAGGATTCGAACAGGGGATCCTGACTGCTGAGCATTGAGTTCTTAACCCGCCCATTAACGCAGGCCGCCGATTGTTTCCCGCATCTCCATCACAGGCCAGTGTAGGTGGAAGGCTTTTTGTTAAGAATGTGGGTTGTCAACTGTGAAATGAGGACAGTCATCGTAGCACTCCGGCCGTTAGTATTATTGTGTGCGTAGTGTGTACATATGTTTTTGGCACAGCGCCCCGCGCTTGTAAACACTAAAGACATTTTCTATTTTTATCTAAAAGGGTGCCTTAATGTAGACTTCGAAGCCACATGTCTTAATTATCAGATGTTTTTCTGAGCGCCAGTCCTTGTCTGTTTCCTCACATTGTGGGTTGAGTTTGTTGTGGGGGCAAAATGGCAGCAAGAGATACCCTTTAAAGCCCTTGGATGTGAAAGTTGGAAATTCCGAAGAAAAAAACAAAGCTCGAGGTCATTATCTAAATCATCTACAATAATCACTTTTCTTACATATATTTTCCTACTTTTTAACAACTTGATGTGCTTCAAATTAGCATTGTTTTTCAGTCTGCAGTTGAGTATATGCTCACGATTTCAGTGCCAATTCTGAATGTGTGCATGTGTCTTTTACAGGTTCTGCCTTTTATATACCGAGCCATTGGCTCAAAGCATCTTCCTGCCAGTAATATAAGTTTTGTGCATTTTGATTCACACCCGGACCTCCTTATTCCTGTGAATATGCCAGCTGACACTGTGTTTGATAAGGAAACTCTTTTCGGGTAACATATGATTTTGTTAATAATCTTTTATGTGCTTGAGATAAAATTTGCAGTAGATGATAAGCAATTAAGAGAAATAGACTTTGCTAAGTTCGTGAGTTTTTGTTTTGTTTGCTTTCTTTATTTTATTTAGAGCAAGTATTGACAAACTTTTTCTTAAAGAGCCAGGTAGTAGATATTTTAGGCTTGCTGACCATACGTCTTTTATAACTACTTATCTCTGCTCTTGTAGCATGAAAGCAACCGTAGACACTGTGTAAACAAATGGCTGTAGCTGTATTTACAAAGACAGGTAGTGTCGCCCAATGTTTGCCAACCTCTGCTTTAGAATGTAGAATTTTAGAAATAGAAGAGACTTCAGAAGTTATCTGAGCCAGTTCTCCTTTCCACTTTAAAAGTCTGGTCACTGAGGCACAAGAAAATGTGTTTTAAACACATAGTTTAATAATTGCATAGGCCACACATCTTTAATTTGTATATCTTTCCTTCTCAGGATTCCTGTTTATCCTAAAAATTATTGAATTTTTTCTTTAATGTGGGTTATATCTATTGATATTTACCATACTTGAAATTAAAACTGAGATGTGTTTAAAATATTCGTTTCAAAATAACAAACCTCATGTTAGCATAAATCAGATTTTTATGAAAAACAAATACATTTTCTAAAGCAAAAATAAGTAGTGAGAAGAGTAACAATGTTTAAATTTTTGCAAATCTTTTTAATATTTGCCTTTATAGAAGACAGCTGGATTCTCAGATGCTTCTACATTCAGTGTGTTGCCATATGTTGTTTTCGTGGAAGTATATGAAAAAAATTAGGATAAGAATTTTCATATCCTTTTCAGATAACCATGAATATTCTTTAATACTATAACAATACATGACAAGTGTAGAATCCAACAATTCAGATTCAAGTCTGAATAACCATGGTTTTTCAATGTTTAAAAAAAATGGCGTTTAGCTCGCAATTCAATCACAAGTGCTTTTCCATGAGACAACCATTATATTTCAAAGTATGTAGCAAAAGTATTTTCTGTGCACTTCTCATTTTGCCACACGAAATATTTTTAAATGTCTACTCAGAATCAAGGTTTAATTGTGAAAGGCATCCTTATGTGAAACTGGCTTGGATTGGGGGTAGGGGGAGTGTTAGTGCTTGGTAGTGAGGAATACAATTACTACTAGTAAAGTTTGGTGCTGTTGCCTTGATTACTCTTAGAACATCAACCCACCATTGCTTTGTACCATCTGTGCACATGTCAGTCCAATGAAAAGGGAAATAATGCCTTAGTGTTTTAGGAAAATTGTTTTTATCTAGTAGTCTCAGTTAAGGTCTCAGGAACCCTGCAAGGGCCTCTTAGGCCACACTTTGAGACCTGCTGTCTTAAAATATTGTGAATTCAATTACATTTGGAAAAAAATCACTAATAGTTTTCATTCTTCCTCTGTATTTCTTTTCCAGAGAATTAAGTATTGAGAATTGGATTATGCCTGCAGTTTATGCTGGCCATTTTTCTCATGTAGTATGGCTTCATCCCACATGGGCTCAGCAGATCAGAGAAGGCAAACATCGCTTTTTAGTAGGCAAAGACACTTCTACCACAACAATCAGGTAATTTTTTCATATTTATGGCTATGTAAGGAGTTGATTGCTTCTATCTTATTTTAGATTCCTATAATAACTTATGAATATCTCTACACACACATAGGGTCAGATTAAGCCTCAACTCTTCCAAAAAGAATTCTCAAAACACCAGAAACAAGTTTTCAAGCCTTTTGACCTTCTTCACACAACATTTATATTTAGTTGCTGGTCAAGTTTGTTTTTGAATAACATGATTTTCATCCTCTAGAATTCTGGCTCCATTGATGACTAACTCCATTCAAACATCAAAGTACTTTTTAGAATTATATATTTAATGATACATTTTACTATTTCTTTCCAATATAACTGTTGTTTGCTGAATAAAACGATTAGCACTGAAAAAAAAACCTCATTGTTTTGTTTTTTTAATAAATCCAATGGCTGAAAAGTAGATTTGGGGTTTTAATTTTATTAATATAGTTATCTTTAGGTAATCTAAATTACAGAATCCTCTGACGAGTTACATGTGCAACTGGTTTTGTTGTATAAACTATGTGACCAGTGTTTTGTGTATCTTGTGACACTGCAGTATTTTTAGAAATATCAGAATAATCTTGATTTTTAAATTCACTAGTGATGGGATAAGTGTTTTCAGCAGTGTAACCATTACTTTTTATAATCTGAAGGGTAGTGAGATGACATGGTAATACTTTGAAAATGAAATATAATCTTGTTGAAATGACATTTTTTACTTCTGACTTATCTTTAATGATATAATTAATATATATGTTCTTATCAGTTACACAAATAACTGTCATGTGTACATGAAAATTATATTTATTGAGGATATAATACAAAGTAAATATGGCTCCACATATACTAAATATCAGAAATAATACTGGTATATGTGTAAGGGTAGTAGGATTTTTATTGAATACTTCATGAGTAGGCCTAATTTAACCTCTAACTGATTTCTGTAAAATCAAGTAATTTTGAACATTTGAAATAGACATTTGAAACTCAATGTGTAGTAACGATATTAGAATGATTTTGATTATCTTATAATTTTAATCCAAGTAAAAATTTATGGAAAAGACATACATATAGGTATGCAGTCTGAGATGTATGTGTGTTTGAACTAATATGAACAAAGTAAAATATTATTAAAGAAGAATACAGATTTAAGTTCTGAAATACAGCCTTTGTCGTCCTTAGGATGGTATAGTTTTTAATAAGCCTGGGCATTAGGTTTATTGCATCATTAATCTTTTTTTGGAAAATTATATCTTTTTAAATTTAAGACAATATGTTAGAATAGGGTGGTTGGGAAATAAGTATTAACTATTACTTTAGTTGAATAGAGTCTGCCTCTGAAAGAAACTTTTGGTTTCACTATTCATAGTACTTACCAAGACATAATATAGTTGAAAAGCTAAGAACATACCAATATGTCTAAAATCTGAATTCTGCAACTTATGAAACGCATTCTACACGTGTACAAGATTTTTTTAAGTTGTTTTTCATATTAAAGTTTTATGGTTATATGAAGTTTATTAAAATATGTCAGGGAATTTTATTAAAAGAAATTATTTCCAGATGTAATTTTTAAGTTTTTTTTTTTTTTTTTTTTTGTATAAAGTATCAACTGCTATGATAGAGATCCAAAGCACTGGCTTAAAAACAGGATCATTCATTTCTTTCTCATATTAGAGTTGCTGCATACAGCCCAGGGCCTATGTGGCAGTTCTGTAGTTTGGGTGATCCCAGTTCCTTCTGTCTTTTTGCTCCACCATCTCTAGAGATTGCATTTGTCCTCATAGTCCAAGGTAGGCTTGCCACTCTGTGTCATAGCCAGTTGGTGGGGAAGGGAGAGCAAGGCTCTGTTTAGTTCTCTTCCATTGACAGCCTTTAACCAGAACTTAATCAAGTGGCCACACATAGCAACAAGACAGACTAGTCTTTAATTTGGGCAGTTGTGTGCCCAGCTAAAAATTGGAGGAACACAATTTCTACAGAAGAACAGGAAGTACAAGTATTAGAGACAGCTCTGTTTTTGTCAAATATGTCCTTTCTTATAGTTCTGTAGTACTATGGAAATGCTACATGAAATGTCAGTTAATGTGTCCGTTCATCTTTAAAACAGTTTTTTCCTCTAATCCAGGGTTACAAGTACAGATCATTACTTCCTAAGTGATGGTCTTTATGTAACTGAAGACCAGCTAGAGAACCAAAAACCTTTACAGTTGGATGTAATTATGGTAAAACCATATAAACTCTGTAACAGTCAAGAAGAAAATGATGCAGTGTCTTCTGCTAAGAAGCCAAAGCTAGCACTGGAAGATGCAGAAAACACTGCTACTACTAACTGTGACTCTTATTCAGAAGGACCGGAAAAAAACACAGTGACGCAGAAAAGGGCCCAAACTTGCCTAGAACCTTCCTGTTCATGTTCTTCTGAAAGCCAGGATTGCCAGACTACAGTCAGCACTCGAGAAATTCTGGAAATTTTGAAGAAAGGGGATGCATTTGTTTTAGATATTGACTTAGATTTTTTTTCAGTCAAGAATCCCTTCAAAGAAATGTTCACTCAGGTAAATTTTTAAAACAGATCTTGAGAGTTATATGACTTATATATATAGTTATATATAGATCAGGGATCAGCAAACTTTCTACAGAGAGTCAGATAGTAATTACTTTATTAGGGGTCCCATATGGTCTCTCACATATGCTTCCTTATTGTTTTTTCAAACCCTTCAAAAGTATATATACCATTCATAACTCGAGGGCTATACAAAAACAGATTGTAGGCCATGGGTTGCTGATCCCTGCTCTAAAGAGTATTATTTTGCAATTATTGTGGTAATGGGTATGTGGGTGAATGAAAAAAATAAAATCATATAGTAGAAGAAAGTGTGTAGATTAAAGAATGTTGCTCTTTTACCACATCTTCATTCCCTCAGTTTTTTACCTCAGAAACAAATATTATGGCCAGTTTTGGGGGATATCTTTCCAGAAGTTTTTTATGTCCATAAAACCCTATGTGACAAATTTCTCACCAAAGAATGAGGTACATAATTACATATATACTATTTTAGCTAATGATTCAGGCCTGTGATTCTTAGGGTACCTCATCAGATCTTCCATGCAAATCACCAGACAATATTAGTGTACAATCTGAGATACGACCATGCAGTTAAGAAACTGATAAATTCACAATCCAAGTGAGCATTCCTAGGTGCATTTTGTGGGCACATGTATCTGCTTACTTTAACATTTAGAAAGTTGTCTCAGGTCTATTTTGGGAGATTCTAATTAACTCTTTTTTTCTGCCAACATTCACTATTTGATTTATAATAATGCTGTACTTTACAGTCCTTATTCTGTATACATATCAGAAGCTATTGTGATTTATCTAATAAATTATCAAAGACCTTGCCTAGGGACTAACCAAAAATATGTGAGATTTGAGGATTTAGTATAATATGGACCTAATGTACTCTCCCAACTTGGAAATAAGGGAGAAAAAAATGCCCTCTATTTCTTTTCTACTGTGACTATAACTGCCAGCTCAGAATTATGAATTGACCTTAAAAACACTTAGAAAACTTGAGGAATGGGCATACCTAGAAGATGAAGAACCTGACCTTTGGAGTTTATCCTACAGATATAGTCACCAAATATTTGCAATGAAAATTTCTAAAAAGTTGTATAAGAAACCTAGTGGCTTCACTCCTTTTCCATTGCTATCAGAAAACCTGGGAAAGTGGAGATTTTTATATCCTTTTATACCCTTTGGTACTATGGAGCTTTTTGAAAAAAGCATATATTATACTTTATCATTTAATAGCTATTTTTTTAATACTGTAAAGCAAATCGGTTGTTTACCTTTTTTTTAAAAGCATGTTCAGAAGGCAGTTAAATTCTGTTTGTGACTTCTGCTTATTAGCTGTATGATCATGGGAAAGTTCCTTAACCTTTCTGACCTGCAGTTTCTTTAAGTATAAAATCAAATTATAATCATACCCAACTCACGGGATTATTATGGTGAGGATAGTGCCATGGTATTGTGCTTAATGAATTTTAGCTCTTACATATAACCTTGTTCTAATAATTAAGTATTCCTTAATAGGATCTTTGGGGCCAGATAGACCCACCCATGATGAGGCTATGTAGCTGTGATAAATAAGGAGAGACAGTCTTCTGCAAAGTCTGTGTGTAGCCGGCGTCCTTCTTCCATTGTATCTGCCTCCAGTATTTTTCTCCAGAATTCTCTTCTGTGGCTAGGGAAAGGGCTGCAAAGTGAACATGGAGAGTTGTATTGTTGTTATTAAAGATATTTGTTTTTCCTATAAATAGTTAAAATCTGGGATGTATTCATTTTTAGAGTGGACTATTATTAGAAACATTTTTTTCTCATTATCCATTAGCCACCAAGTCTTCTTCCATAGTTATTTTTTATACATTCTTGTCATGTCCAGATAGATAGAGTTAACCTGAAGAAACAATATGTACAATGAAATCTTAATTATACATTTTGCCTGATTTTCCCAGACGAATCTTTAAATGATTGTGTAAGACGTTTTTTCATTGTATCACAGCCATTTTTCACTTAAAGCATTTCATTGAAAAAACTAATTTTTTTCTCGTGTATGGATTTTTTTGTTTTGTTTTTAGGAGGAGTACAAAATCCTACAAGAGCTCTACCAATTTAAAAAGCCTGACACCAACCCAACAGAGGTATCCTCCATTTATTTCTTTTGGTTTTTAGCTATTATTCACATATCTAATAATATCTTTCGGCTTACTACAGTACTCTCAAACAACTTTCCAAAATCTTTGTGTGCGTGTGTGTGTTTATTGGGGCACCCCATGATTAGTAGCTAAAAATCATGTTTTAACTAATTGAACTGAGATTTTTATTGTAATGGGATTGCACTTGTTTTTTGGAAGAATAGCTATAATCTCAGCTTTTCTGTTCATTTAAAGGAAGATTTGGTAGATTGTGTTGATACTAGAATACATCAGTTAGAAGATTTAGAAGCTACTTTTGCTGATTTGTGTGATGGCGATGATGAAGAAACTGTCCAGAAATGGGCTTCAAACCCTGGGTAAGACCCTCAAACATTTTTTTCTCCAACTCTACTATATTTTTGTCCTATATTTCTACTATTGACTCTTAAGTTGCTTTTTTTAAATTAGTATTAAATTTGAACACACATTTACTAACAGTAACATTTATTGAGTATTTTCTATGCACCCAATATAATTCTAAGATTTTTTTTCCTTGCATTATCTCATTTATTCCTTATAACAATCTTTTTTTTTTTTCCTTATAAAAATCTCATGGCTTCATTATTAAGTCTCTTTTATAGATGAGAAAACTAAGGCACAGAGGTTAAGTTGCCCAAAATCACCCAGTAAGTTGGTATGCTTTTAGTTATTGTGCAGTAGCTATGCCCCTACTATATATAAAATGCGATGCTAAGTTTTATGGAAGATTAAAGATGGGTAAGACAGTCCCTGTTATAAGTAGAATAAGAAAAAAAATATTAACCTATCAATAGAAAAGTAGGTTACTAGACAGGTAAATTATTATGTGAAAACTCGCCTCCTTTTAAGGATAGCCCAACTACAAGTAGAAGGGTTTTATTTTCAAGCTGCCTGTGGCATCAGGGAGAAAGACTTGAAAGCTGTGTTTTTCATCAGGTCGTTTATTTGGCTAGTTGTCTCAGAGTTAACTACCTTGAAAATAGAGAGAAAAGTTCTTTTGGAGCATGTGAGCATGTGTTGATTTGGGGGTGGGGTAAAGAATACCTTTAGAATGCTTTTAGTATTAAAGCTAGTTTGAAAGAATATTTACATAAATAATGCAGTTACTTCTCTCTAAAATAATTCTTTAAATTATACAAACTCAAAAAGTCAGGAAGCTAAAAGTATCAGATACAAACTTCTGTTCCCCATGAGCGTAGAATATCAGAACTAGTTTATTTTCAAATCAATCTCCCACAAACCAAAAGAGATTATTCTCCACAATGTAAATGTAAGAAATCAGTCATAAGATAGCAATGTAAAATGGAGAGTTAGAATCATAATACTTCAGGCCACTAGGATTTGTTATGTCATGGTATTGGAAAAAATTCATCAGATCTCTAGAATAATACAGAAGAAACTAGAAAAGCAGTAATTTCTGGGGAGAGGAATTGTATGGCTAAATGATGAAGTATATGAGGGAGAAATATCTTCTTTTGCTATGTGTATGTATTACCTATTCAAAATATTCAGTAATTTTTACTTAAAATATTCAGAAACTTCCCTGAAATAAAATATAAAACTTTATTATCACTAAGAAAAGCAGTGGTTTGGAAGAATAAACCATAATAGTATTAATTACATTAGTAAGTATTAACTAAGCACTCTAACATCAGTCAATGCGTGTTCTCTTTAGTATAGGGAGATAATTCTAAAAATGATTCCCTTTTTATGGAATTATGACAGAAGAGGGAGATATAGAAATAAGTCATAGAACATAATTCTTTCTGGAAATACTGAAGAATACCTACTATTTTGTGATTTTTTTTTTTTTTAAGTCTCAAGCCAAGTTTAAAACTTAAAACAAAAAACTAGCCTAAAAACCTCAGAATCCTGAATCTAGCTCATAGATAGGACCACCTATTCCACTGAAACCCACTGTACCTGCTGCACGTGCCCAGGTAGCTCCTCATCATCTGCAAGGAGTTCTGTCAGACTTTTAAAAGAACATAGAAACCACAAACAGTGGTGAGTTTAGACTGTGTTTGGAACTGGGAGGAAAACAATAGCACAAGGGGAAAGTGAGTGAGACAGCAAGAAAATTCTCTCCAAACTTACTGCGCCCCTAAAGGGCCAGGCCCTCAGCATGAAGGAGGTAGAAGAGGCTGGTGATCGGGGCCCGGAAGCCCAGCAAGGGTCACTAATAAAAAGGGAGAAATAACAGGATGAGTGGATAGACAGGCCTCCATGCCTCCTTTTTTCTTTTTTTCTTTTTTCCCTTCAGCAGATGAGTGGATGTTGGTGGAGGAGGTATTGAAATACTAGAATCATTAATTAATCAGGGCTTCCAAAGAATTCCATCTAAATTAAATAACTTAAAACCCCTATCGTTATTATATCAAATGGTATACAGAACTTTTCCAGTTGTAATTGTATACGTCAGTAAATATGACCTTAAATTTTTTTTAACCTTCAGGAAACATCTTTTGTCACTAAATGCTTTGATCTTGCTGATCAAAATGTATTTTTTTATGAAATTGGATTTTCAAAATGATATTTCAAAGTCATAGAACTTTCATTTTTAAAGAAAAGGAAAATCTCAGTTACTCAGGTGCTAATTTTAAATCTTTAATACATTCTGTAACTTTTTAGGTAAGAAAACAACATGGAACATTTATTTCTTATTATTTTAAGATACTTGAACAGTTTTATCTTTCATTTCCAAGAATCATTAAACATATTGTTAATGGGAAATTTTAAGGGTACTGTATCATTGGCTACTATAATTTTGGTTGAGGTGGTGTGATGTTTAATTGAGGGGTGGCTTTTTTCCAGAATGGAATCACTAGTTCCACTTGTACAGAGTTTGAAAAAACGGATGGAAGTGCCAGACTATGAAATGGTAAATATTTTATATTAAAGTATAAAATTGGGGGAAAAAAGAATTAAATAAATAAAGTATAAAATTGATCCTTTCCAAGGCATTATTCTGGGTAGAAAAATATGCTTTTGTTAAAATGATTACTTTTTTTGTGTTCCTGGGAAATGTGAAAGAATTATCTTTTAAAAGAAAAAGAAATGAAAAAATTACACACTTTTCAGAAGTTAGAACACTTTTTCAGTTTTCTTAGAAAAACATGCTAAAGTGCTGGGGGGAAAAGTATACAATTTCTAAAGTTGTTCTTTATTGATCCTTTTTTTGTTTTTTTTTACTCCTTTACCCCTTTTCTCTCTACACTTTTCTGATTATAAAAACCAAACAGAAAGACTAAAGAAGGCACTCTGGCGAGTGCATTTTTACTATATTAGCTGTGTAACTGGCTTTGACAAAAAGAGAATATCTTTAATGATAATTTCTTTTGTTTTTATAGCATTCTGCAGTCTTTGAAGCATAAATTTTCCCATTCGAGGTTCAAATGTGTTTTCTCAGATTTTTGTGCCAGAGCTGAGACCTCTAAGTCTTTTGTTCTTTTACTTCTGGTGCTTCTTTTACTTCAGTAAATTGTGTTTTTGTTTTAATGTTTTATCTAGTCATGGAATACAATCAAACCACCTTATTTGAACTGAAGGTTATATATTGATTTAATGCTAACTTTACAAGAATAAAAAATACCAGCAAAATAATATTTTGGTTAAATCGTAGCTAATCTAAGACTCACTCTTCTATTTAATGGCAATTATTAAGTATGAAAGAATTAGAAGTCATAGGGTTTAAAAATGCTTCGAGCTCATGTAATATTAATGACTGTGTGTTCATGCAGGTCTACTTTAGTCATTGCATTACATCTGGATTTTCTGGTGATTGGGGATGGGTGTTGTACATTATTTGTTAAGGGATGGCATGGGCTCAGTTGCAGATTATATGATCAAATATGATGTGCTTATAGCTGAAGGATTAAAATACTATTCTAATCATTTTAGTAGAAAAGAACATGCAGTCTGTCATTTTACTACATTGACAGATCACTGCCAATTAAATCTTTGATGTTTATCCAGAGCCTCCAATAAAGTAGCAGATTAGTGTTTTTTCCATGCTTTGCACTTATGTACGCTAGGCAAAACTGTGACATGTTTGAGTTCCAGTTTTCAAAACTTTAAAGCAGAAGCTGCAAAATGTCAGTTTGTGAGCCACTTCTAGCTTTCAGGCATTTTAGTTTAACACTAAGACTGAAACACCAGTTGTTTACGTTTAAGATATATATAGATAGAAAGATAGATAGATATCAGCAGGACGTGCTTATGCATAAGGATACACAAGAAACTGGTAACCGTAGGTTAAATAAGGTAGGAGGAAGACTTTCCCTTGTATCCTCTTGAAACTTGGAGTGTAGTACTGGGTGCATGTATTTAAAAACTAAATAATAAGTTGGAAGGAAATAGTAAGGTGTATACAGTTTTATATCAGCTTTTAGAATTTAGATGAAGTGGATAATTCTCTAGGAAATGTGAATTGTCAAAGTAGACTCAAGTAAAGATAGAAACTGAATGAATCCATAATCATGACATAAAGAAGTAGTTAAAGAATTATTTCTACTAAATGTATCAGGCCCAATCGGGTGTATAGGCCAGTTCTTTAAAACTTGAGAAAATTGATAACTTCTGTGGCACAGAAATTATTAAGGAAAAGACAATCTCATTTCACAAAAATATTAAAAGATTTGTCAGCAAGGCTATTAATGGTTAAAGTGTTATTAAAAATAACAAAGCCTTACAGTTTAATTTGTAATTGTCTTGTTTTTAGGTTCACCAGGCTGGTCTAACCTGTGATTATTCAGAACTTCCTCACCATATCAGCACAGAACAAGAAATTGAGTATCTTATTCAGTCTGTGTATTATTTACTGAAAAATTTACCAAAACCTACTCTTGTGACAATTGCAAGGTAAGTGTGATAGCCTGAATGATGATGACCCACCAAAGATGTCTACATCCCAGTCTCTAGGACCTGTGAATATATTGGTTTATGGGGCAAAATAGACTTTGTGGATGTTGATTAACTCAAGGATCTTGAAATGGGGGATTATCCTGGATTATCTGTGTGGGCCCAGTGTAATGAGGGGTCCTTGTAAAAGGAAGGCAGTAGGGTCAGAATCAGAAAGGTGAGAAGACGCTAGGCTATTAGCTTTGAATATGGAAGATGTGACCCGAGCTAAGGAATGAATGCAGGCAGTCTCTAGAAGCTGGAAAAGCAAGGAAACATTCTTGCCTAGAGCCTGGAGAAGAAAATGCAGCCCTGTCAGCACCTTTGTTGTAGGACTTCTGACCTCCAACAAAACTGTAAGATAATTGGTGTTACTGTAAGCCGCTAAGTTTGTGGTAATTTGTTACAGCCGCACTTGGAAATTAATACAGTCTCTGTAGATAATTCTGATGATTACTAAAACAATAATTCTTTTCAATTTTTTTCCTCCTAAGCTCGAATTTCAGATGTTTTTTTCCTCTTTCCTATTAGTAATGATTGGCAGACAACTTGTTTTTGAAGTTGGTGATAATATTCAGATGAACACAAGAATTTCATTTCTGTGTTCTACAGAGGAATATTTAGCTGCTGCCATGTTTTAAATTTGAACATAGTAATGGACTGAATAGTTATAACAATTTATCTTTTTCTCTGTTAATCTTTGGGCTAGTTTTCTATAGAACTATAAGGTTCTAAAATAAGTACTTTAAATACTTATGCAAATAGTATTTTGTGGCAGACATCTTATAACAATCTTTTACCATCCTAAAACAAAATTCATAGATAATCTAGCCTACTGCACACATAATTTAAACATATGTAGATATTATACATAATATGTAGATAATATAATTGTCTTAGTCCATTCAGACTGCAGTAACAAAAATACCATAGACCTGGTGCTTATAAACAACAGATTTATTTCTCACAGTCCTGGAGGCTGAGAAGTTCAAAGTGAAGGCACCAGCAGATTCAGTGTCAGCGTGAGGACCTGATTCCTAGTTCATAAACAGCCGCCTTCTCCCTGTAACGTCACATGGTGGAAGGACTGAAGGAGCTCTCTTGGACCTCTTTTATAAAAGCACTAATCTCATTCAGGAGGAATCTACTCTCATCACCTAATCACCTCCCAAAGGCCTCACCAAATATGATCACCTTGGGGATTAGGTTCCAACATATGAGTTTGGGGAGGACACATTTAGTCTACAG